GTGTACACCCTCCTTTCGTGTTTTTTCTTTTTTTTTTTTTTGTTGCTTTTCATCCTGAACGTGTACAACACATGTTCGCGAACGTTCACCATGTTCCAGTATTTCGATCTATTCGTTCGTTCTTTTTCTTTTTCTTTTTGGTGGAAAATAAGAGAGGGTCGTAGTAGACTTTTTTTTCTTTCTATTTTTATATTTCTATCTCTCACGAAAACGATCTATTAGAAGAAGAATTTTTATGGGATGTAATAAAAATATCTATCACCACCACCACCACCTACACTTACCCAGCTAAAACACGCAAGAAGATAACGGGGTGGGGGGGTGGTTGTGGGCCCCTTTTTTCGTGCTTGTCATTCCTATTCTACATTTCTTTTTTTTTTTCTTGGTTTCTATTCGATTGGAAAATATTTTCGGGGGGAACTTTTTCTTAACGATAATATGTGTACTCTTAAAAAAAAAAAAAATTATTAGAGGATAAAAATGAGATTTAAAAAAAAAAAAAAAATAGAAAAGAAAAAAGAAAGATGGTGAGATTCTCGAATTCGTTCAAATTTCGCATCCACTCTCTTCTAATTGATGTTTCATCGTACGACACCGAAGAGATCTCGAGACTCCACTTGGTTAGATTAAATTCTTGATAACCACGTTTATCGGTCTCCCGCGAAAATTAAGCAAACCACACTGTGAATTCTCTGCCTGCACACACACCCACCTATCCACCCACCACCCATTCACCACCGTTGGTTGCTTCTGCCTCTCTGCTCTTGCCGTTTTGCCAGTATTGGTAATGGTAGTAGTAGTAATAGTTGTAGTGGTGATGGTGATGGGTAGTACTAGAGATAGAGGAGAGGGTGAAGGGTTGTTTGAGCATGGCTTCGAAAATTACTTAAACGAGTCGATTAACGAAATTCTCTCTACTCTTACTCCCTACTACTACATCTTTACTTGCTTTAATACTAATACATATATCGATACAAGACACAACTGTTCTGTGTGTGTTGTTTTACGCCTGTGTTACGACTAAAAAGAATTTTATTTATTTTTTATTTTATGTCAATTTTAAATAAATCTTTAAGTTAGCTAAATCTTTTACTCCGTTAATTATTGTGTCAATTAATTGCGAGCTTATGTTATCATTTTACTATAATATCTTTACTACTACTACTAGCAACTACATCCTTTGATCAAAATTGTTTTCTTTTATCGTTTAAATTGATATCACAAACGATACACGTTTTATCAAGTAAAAGTAAACTCCAGTGAATTTTGTTGAAAATTTCAATGCAAGGTAGAGGATGAGATACTTTGTTGAAAATTGGTAGAACAAATTTATTACCAAATTTCGATAGATATTTTCGAATTTGTTAATTGACATTTTTCTTTTTTTTTTTTTTTTTGTATTATTTAATTAAATCCTCTTTTCGTCTCTGACATTTTTTTCTACTTTTTTTTTTGTTCGAACATTCTTTCAACGATCGTGAAATTTGATATTTAAAAAATGTCGTATATTAAATTTGATTACATTTGGTATTTTTCGAACATACATTCGTGGAACCCCAATTTAATCCAACCCCAATCCCTTTTCTACTTTCTTCCTTTATTCATCCCTTCTTTCCTTCTTTCTTTCGTCGTCTGTTCGTGCATGTACGAATAATCGCAATTATCGCAAACATAAGCTCACGCGAAATCGTTATTTCGAACAGTATCTCAAACTCGCAACGCGTATAATACGCTGATTATTCGCTCATGCTATCTACAATACTATGCTCTCATTCTTTTTCTCCCATACTCTCATATTTCTCTCTCTTTCTCTTTTTTTATACGCTTTTTACATCATATTAATATGTAAACTATTTTAATTTAATCAATTCGACATACAATATATTTATAAATATATTGGTATTAATTTTATTTTAGTTTAGTTTAGTTTATTTTATTATATTTAATTTTATTTAATTATATCATTAATAAAATTTTTTGACAATTTAATATTATATATAAATAATCTTTTAATAATTTAATTTTATATATAACAAAATTAATGACAATATTTTCTTAAACATTGCTAATAAAAATCTAATAGTTAAATAAAGAGAAAGAGAGAGAGAGAGAATAGTATGTGGTAATCGGCCTATTGGGAATGCATAGAAATAAAGAATAGATATAGGCAAGTTAAAAGAAATAAACGATAGTAAAAAGTAGAATAAGAACATGAATAAGAATACGAGAAGTAGAAGAAGAAGGCAAAGGTATTCTGGATGGAATA